TGAAGAAAAAAAAAGTGCTTGAACAATAAATTGTATATTGTATAGTAATTCTAATGCACATTCACAAGGTTTTCTATAATTTACGATATTTCTTTTTTCTATAACTCAAGGAATTGCTGAATGTTTAGTGGTATTTTAAAAACGCTGAAATATGTTATGTTTTAGAATAAGGTATTGAGATAATATATTGCATATTGTAAGATTTATTGTTTAAAAAATCGCTTCATTTTGCTAGATATTTAGGTTACAAGGCTTTCATTGGATAAAGATGATTAGCAAATACCATCCTCATATTTCGATATATTCTGAAACTTACATTCGCAAATTCACCATAAAATGTCAAACAGCATATTCTTCAAATACGATTACAGCTACATTTACCACCAAATACTGCTACTATGATTATTTTTGTTTTCTTATATATGTTACCGGCAAAGTATGAAACGCCGGTATTGAATAGAATGCCTTGGCATTCTATACAATGCCGGATGTTTATAGGCAAAGTATGAAATATGAGAAGTATTACATACTTTCCCTAGACATTCTATAGAATGACAAATGTTATTTAGGCAAAATATGAAAAAAACATACTGATGAGGTCATTATGTTATATTAATGATGTGCATGTTACTGTGAATGATCGAAATCGGTGGTTGTGAACTTTCACTGGTGAATGTTGACAATCACATAGTCGCTTTGGTGAATGTCCGAAATATTTATTACATCCGATTTGATGTTAATTTATTCGTGGATATAATTACATTTATTCGATATTTTACTACTTACTGACGATAGATTAGAAGAAACATCAGTGTTTGGAGTATCAGGCTAATATAGATCGGGCAATGGCACTCAACCTTAAAAAATCATCGGTGTAGAATATACCGGGCAAATGTATACCGGGCAGTGGCACTTGACGGACATTTACCAAAGGTCTAGTCATACTAGTTCTAGTTAATTGCCACTGCCCGGAATACATTTGTCTGATATACCAGACACTGATGTTTTTTTAAGGTCAGGTGCCACTCCCTGGTATACATTTGCCCCGTATATCCTACAATGATGATTTTTTAAGGTCAAGGGCCACTCCCTGGTATGCATTTGCCCGGTATATCCTACCATGATGCTTCTTCTAATCTATCGTCAGTAAGTATTAAAATATTGANCCGAAATATATACTAGGTCTAGTTAAGTGCCACAGCCCGGTATACATTTGCCCGGTATATCCTACACTGATGTTTTTTTAAGGTCAGGTGCCACTCCCTGGTATACATTTGACCGTATATCCTACAATGATGTTTTTTTAAGGTCAAGGGCCACTCCCTGGTATGCATTTGCCCGGTATACCCTACAATGATGCTTCTACTTATCTATCGTCAGTAAGTATTAACATATTGAATAAATGTAATTATATCAGCGAATAAATTAATATCAAATCGGTTGCAAAAAATATTTCAGACAATCACCAAAGTGACTATGTGATTGTTGACATTCACCGGTGAAAGTCGACATTCTCCAGATTTCGGTCATTCACAGTAACATTCACAGACAGGTGATCACAGACAGGTAACATTCGGTCATTCACAGACAGGTGATTAAAAAATTACTTTTAAGATTAAGACGATATATAAGATGTTGAGAAATTTGCAATGATGAGAGAGATGCTTAAAAATGTTGACTACGTATTTTTATTAATATTTATAAAAAATATATTCAAGAAATTGATAAATATTTTATTCCAAATCTATTCATACGTATGTATATTATAGAAATTGTACCAGTTATTGAGAAAAAAAAACTAAAAAATAAAAAATAATCACATTAAATATACAAAATCTGGTGTATAATCATATTCAATCACAAGCATGCTTTTATAAAACTCGACACTCGTTGATTAAAATGTTTTATTCAAATTTCTTTACTAAATTGCAAATAGAATTTTAGATGACTAAAAAAGAAATATCGTACTTTATAGTTTTAAAAAAATAAAAATAAAAAGATTCGCAAACGATTATTAGCGAAAAAAATATGAATGAAATTTTACGCCACTCGCGCTAAGTCAATTTCCTCGTAAGTTTATCACATTTTAATATTAATCACCCCATTAAATAATTTCTTCTTTGTCACCAAATTATTTTTTTTAAATAATTAATTTTAATTTTTCTCATCTTCTAATAAATAAAAACAATAGAAACTTTAGATTTTTCAATTGAAAAATATGTAGATTAAAAATGGTATAAAAAAATCCCTACCTTATAATTCAAAATTTTTTCATCCTCATAATAAAAAATAATGAATAATTATTAAAAATGATTTTTTTCATGAAATTATCTTTGGGTAAATAAGTTTTATGAGTGGGTGAAATTTTTTCTGAATCGCTTCATTAGTTTTTAAAATGAGACTGAAAACGTAAAAAATGAAATTAACATTAAGGGGTCCAAACTTTGAATCACTCTCCTGACCAAACTATGGGGACCACATTTCCCAGATTGCGGCTACCCCGTATTTTGAAGATAAGGAATCCAAATATGCAAAAAGAATTATATGTTAATTCAGAGAAAGTACGTTTTTGTGTCTGATTTCATAACTTAATTAGTAATTAGCACTAATTAATTAGCATATTTGAGGTCACCCCCCGGAACCATTAAGATTGACACTTAGTTCGTGAAAATCCGATCATTAGAACGAAAGTTATTCAGGGTGATATCTTTTTTTTTTTTGCGAACTGTACATAAAATGCTAAATGCGTGTATTTCATAGAAATTCATTAATATTTCATATAAACACTAATCGAATTATAAAAAGTGAACATAAAGGCGCTGAAAATATTAAAGAATATGTTTTATGTAAGTTCAAAGAAGAAATGGGGGCGAGGCGGCAACGACGTTTATCATTTCTACAACTAATATACATACATAATAAAAAAGTGACATGTTTCTAATAAGCTTAAATTTGGACCCCATATTAATAGGGTAAATATCCTATTTCATTTTTAAAGTTTGTTTTAAAATATTATTTAATATTATAAATTATTAAATATAAAATAATATTAGTTATCAGCTTAATTTTAAACTGATTCGTTTTCTTAAACTTTCCTTAAATTTTTTATAAAATAAAAAGAAGTATTTTTCTTAATTTCTTTTCATTTTTGTAAGAAGCAGGAAATGTTTTCGGCAAGAAAAAGTATCCATTGAGTTAAATAATTTCACAAATTTAACTTACTTACCAAATTTTAAAGTCACCAATTATTATCAGACACATCTATCTAGCTATATTGACATAATGAAGGTAAAGCCTGCATTTCCGTAGGTCATGGTGCTGCCTTTCTTCAGGTATTGAACTAACTGTTGTTGAGAATTATAAAAAGGACAGAATCCAAAATATAATATCAATAAGAGTATACATTCAGCAGATATAACACAACAAAAAGCAGGAAATGGTACTTTACATATAGAAGAGGCTGAAATGATTTCACTATCCTTTCTCTTTCAAAAAAGGAATAATATAGTTTATTTTGAGCAAAATAAGTTAAATTATGACAACTGCAAAGGTCTCAAAAGAAAGATTTTATCAGAACATAAAAGCAAAAATTTGTTTCTGGAACTTTACAGCAGGAGGCGGGAAAGACACCTTTAAATAAGTAGTTAAGTTGTTTATCATATTTGAAATTTCCAAAGGGGATATTGCTTCATTGAGACTTGACTTGCAAATTAAAGGTCACTCATTCAAAACGTCTCCACGGATGTTCTCTCATCTTTCCATAAACGTTTAATTTTATTTTGGCAATCATAATATTTTTTCAGAATAAATAAATAATATAAATGCTTTCTTATTTTTTCCCCTCAAATCTTGTCAGCATTAAAAAGTTTGGTTCCATTAAATCCCCAATGAAAAAATTTACATGAATCATCTTTCATGTAATCTTTCTGTGCAAGTTAGATTTACATCTTTACATCTTTCTGTGCAAGTTAGATTTAGAGTTTGAAGCGTTTAAACAAAAATGGCCCTTTCAATATATCAAATCTCAACTCAGTTGCATTCCTGCGGCTTATAAGTAGTTCCGCGTGATATTTGTTCCTACAAGTTTAACAGTCTAACATTGTTGAATGAATGACCAAATGATAAACTTATGTTCATTTTTCTATGCACCTTCATTTTTTCAAGTTTTAATTTGATATTTTAACACCAAGAAAATGACACTGAATAAAATTAAAATAGTTTGCGAAAAATCATGTTCCTTAGAAAACATTTTTAAGTCAATGCAAGTAACCCCTGAGAACGACCAACCTCCATTAACGGCCATTTTACTGTGGAAGAGAGAGTGGTCGCTCCCGAGAGGTTTAACTATATTTTGATTTAGATATCACAAAAAGATCTATAACAGTTACTTTCTGAATATACTTTATTTCGACGGCTTCTTACAATTTTTTTATTTTTATTTATTTATTTTAGAATAGAATAAGGTTTGATTACTAGATTTTTATTGAATGTATATACCATCAAAAACATTTTTCTCTATTTTTCAAGTTTACAGCTTGAAATAATTAGAATATTATAAATAAACTGTCCATTTTCATTGAACGACTTTTAAAATATTTTTTATCGTTATTATTATTATTATCGCTATTATTATTATTATCGTTTTAACGTTATTATTATTATATCGTTATTATTATTCATGCGAGAAGAATACACAAGCACTTCTTTAGTACTTCTGAGGATGACAGGGGTATAAAAAATAATAAAAATCTGTTTTATCTGTGTTAGGTTGATAAGGAAAGTTATTTTTGACATTCCAACTGATTTAAATAACATACGGAACATCCAAAAAATCATATATGCTTACAACTAGAAGAAAAAAGACATGGCTTTAAACATGGAACCGATTTTTTCCCCAGACAGCGGATTCGCGAATCGGCGCTGATGAATCCGAAAATTTGTTAATGGCTGCTGCTTCGACGCGTTTAAATTAAATAGTAAAAACAAGCAATCAGCAAATAATGTTTTTCTTTTGCTGTTTCGCAAGCTGGCAACAATAATTTGAACTTTTAAAAATACCATTTTTTCGAATGTTCTTCCTACAAGTCTTTTGAAGAAATATTATTTATTTGATCCCAGATTTACTCCTTTTATCTAACCAATTGAAAAATTAAAGTAAGAATTAATATTTTACTTTTGTATATAAAAATTTTCTTTGTTTAATAATGTTATGCAAATTATTGTTATGATGTTGTATGTGCGAAATAGTCAATTTAGCACTGTCATTGTATTGTATTAATTGATTTTTTATTATTAGAACTTTTTATTATTAGAACTTTTTATTATTTTACGATTCAAAATTATTTTAAAACGATAAATTAGGTTTGTTAAGGTTACTATAGCAAGCAAATCTTAACTCCATTCTACGGTTTTTTACCATCAAATTTTAAGTAATTCTATCTCATGAAAATTTTTTTCATATAATTTGGCTGTTATTTATTTAAAATGTATAATTGAAATATTAATAAAAAGTTAAATTATCAACAGAAAATGCTGTTGCATGATATTTTGCTCAAAAATAATGTTTAGAAATTTTACAAATTCTATTCTTATTCCGTTTGACATTCAACGTTAGAGTGTATGCTTTCAATAATCGTATTTACTAATTTCGATTATTTTAGTTTCAAATGCTGGTATATAAAAAATTACTTCATCAATTATCCTATGAAAATGCAATATATTTTTTTTGTAGAGTTATATAATTTGGAATTTTTTTTAATTTGTATGTATCAACTATTCAATTCCACAAATTGGTCGCTAAATCATTAAAATATCGTGTAATAACTGTTATTCTGCCAATCTGAATGTAATTTTAAACACTTACATTAATCCTTAAATTTGAGTAATAAAAGTACCATTTCAATTATCCACAAGCATAGACTTTCTGCATAGGATTCTTAATTCTTATGTGTCTTATCACTGTTCTAAACTTTATTCTTGATAGCTGTGTGTCTAAACTGGTAAATAAGAAAGGTTTTCTTCCATTTTTGCTATCATTAAGGAATTGATGAAGATCATCTTTGACTGAAGATTAATTAATTTGCTTTATTGTTTGTAATATTGTGCAAAATTGAGGAAATATCCTTTTCTTATGAAAATATTTAAATATCAGGCATAGACAGGGTTCCCACGGTACTTGAAAAACCTTGAAAGTTCTTGAATTTTGTTGAAAAAAATCAGGGCCCTGAAAAGTCCTTGAATTCTGCCATAGGGTACTTGAAAAGTACTTGGTTCTATTGGAATTAAAATAATACTAATCTTTGTCACAAAAATGCAGTAAAAAATAATAAATAAATTCAAACGAAAATTATAGAAATTCTGGTAGTTGCAATTTTTAATGCTTGAAGTGAAAAGAGGTAAAGAAGATACAAAATTTGTCTCCAGATTATTGTTCATCTCTGATGTTTAGAAAGCTGAAATTTCCAGCAAATTTTAGTTTTTGTAGTCATAGTTACTAAATGATAACTAGTGTTTCATCGATTTAAAGATGTGTTCAATGTGTTAACTTCATTATTATATTATGACAGGTTAATATTGTTATCCTTTTTGTTTTTTTAATTTTTATAAGAAGGATCATTAATTTGTTATCATATAAAATCAGATTTTTACATTTAGTTTTTACTGCTAATAAATAAAATTTAGTTCTGGATTTCATGAATTATGAATAAACATCGTGATTCACATTAAACTGATTCTTGATTTATGGATCGGAATTCATATAAAATGTTCTACGAATTGGAATTCAAATGAAAGTGATTAATGAATTATATATCGAATGTTGCTTTAAGATGATTTGCAAATTACTCATTGTGATTCGTATTAAGGTATTTTATAAATCACGCATTATGATTTCAATTAAAGTTATTTCTGAATCATGTAAAGTGATACGTATTTAAGTAATTTCAAAATTGTGGATCACAATTCTCATTCAACTAGTTTACATGGTCTTAGAAGGATTTAAGAATTACAAATCGCGATTCGCATAAGAGATTTAAGAATTAACACTTGCAATTCTCATCAAAATGATTTATGAATCACACATAGTTGTTCTAAATTAAGCAACTTTCGAGTCACAAATTACAATTTCCCTCGTAATGATCACTATTCACATGAAAATTATTAGCTAAACATGCAACAGAATTCACATTAAAGTGATTTATCTCACATCGTGATTTACATCTTGTCAGTTCCTGTGTTTTGCAATACTTGCTATTCATATTGTTCCAATTTAAGAGGCATACACCGCAATTTGATTTCAATTTGTAAATCGCAAATTGTGATACATGATTTGCGCAATCTTCAAGACTTACTTCTCCTTTCTTATAACTTTGATTTACACATAGTATATCTAGATTTGTATAAATGTGATTTTTAAAAATTATGCATGCTCTTAAACTGTTACAAATCATGCTTCACGTTTTATAGATCTATTTTAAAGAAAATAAAGCTTCACAAGTCTTAGTTATTTGTAAAATATTGTTCTACAATAGATTTTATTGTGTTAAAAATACATTACTGATACTCAGAAGTAACAAAATCGATAATGTGTTATTACAATTGAAACAGATGTACTAAATGGATATATTTTGATATTTTATCTAATTTAATTATATTCATTTGCTGTAACCTAAATATGGATTTAGCATATTAAAAAAAAGTATTTATATTTTGATAAACTCTGTATTACATACTTGCTTTATCAATTATTTACTATGCATTATCAAATTTTTCATGAAAAGTTTCACTGTTGCTAATTTTTAAATGCTCGCTAGTATCATTCGCTAATGTCAATTGGAATTTTTTAAAGTGATTTGAAACAGCTGTATAACTATCAACCATTTGCATTAGTAGCTGATGAATTAAATTATTATTAATATTATTAATTTGTCAAATAGGCATTGTGCTTTGAGAATATACAATTTCTGCTTCGACGTAATTATAAAATCTGGTTGACATGTTCTTTAGTATATTAACTGTAATACTGAATGGGTCCTTGAATAATTTGATTTTAGGTCCTTGAAAGTCATTGAAAAGTCCTTGAATTTTTTTTTAGAAAATTGAGTGGGAACCCTGATAGATTTTTGTACACTGTGTGTAGCGTTTTAAAAAAGTGCTTATAGGTGCTTATTTTCGTTTTTTAAAAGCCCTTAAAAGTGCTTTTTCGATTGAGTGTTTTTAAAAAGAGCTTTATTTTCCCTTTTTCAAAATGAGATTTTTCCTTTATTTTGTTGATTTTTGCTTCGAATTGTGCAAAAAGACACAGTTCACATTGTTCTATTCAACGTTTTCATAAAGTGCTTAGAAATATATTGAGTGCTTATTTTTTGTTGAATAACTTTGCTATGTACCATGTTATAGAAATTATTCAGGTACTAAAGCGATCAAATTAAATAACTACCATTGTTCTAATATTAATGTTCATAGTTAACTCTGTAAATTATAAATTATTTATTTTAAAAATTATTTTTCAACTAGTCATGTCTTCAACATCCCAAAAGCACAGGAATTTTGTTTCTGAACCTATGGGTGAAAAAGCTGTAAATGAACTTGCTGGAATTGGTGATGTCATTGGTAAAAGATTAGAAGCAAAAGGTTTTGATAGAGTAAGAAATTTTTGACTGTTGGATTTTAAATTTCTTTAAATGTAAAATCTTATGTATAAATATCTTTTTACTTCCAATTTCTTTGACATAGAATTATTCATTGCTCTTTAAAGATATTGTAGTATTAGTAAGTATTATTTAATTAGAAATTTAAAAAATGTGACTATTCTATAATTATTCATTAAAAAATTAAAACTAAAATGTTTGTATCTATTGTCTTTAACAAATTTAGAATCACATGATCTTTTTAAAAGATAAGATGCCTAACATTCTTTTTAATGTGTATTTAATTCATAATACTGACTAGACCATTTATTTAAAATAATGCTTTGCTAAGGATAAATTAAAGCAAATATCATTGAGAAATGAAAAGTATCTATGTTATTTGAAAAGTATCTATGTTATTTGTAAGTTAAGGAATTTAAAAATAAACAAATAGCATTAGGCAGTTTTAGCATAACTTTTGACTAACATCTTATATAAAATGATTTAAGAAATATTATATTAGTGATTAAAGAGGTTGTATTCAATGTGTGAATTGTGAAATCTGAGGGAACTTATGAGATCAATGGCAAAAATAATATTTACTTTTAATTTTTATTCTTCAGTGACAGCATTCTGGGCTATCACTGAACAATTCATCATGTCTGTTTCAAATTGATCAGCGTGCGTAGCATTTATAAAAAAGTGCTTATTTTCGATTTTCATTTTTTAAAGCGTTTAAAGGTGTTTTTAAGAAGTGCTCAATTTTCCCTTTTTGAAAATGAGATTTTCTTTACCAGATCTATTTTCACCACATATTATGCAAAAGTATGCTTTTCACATTGTTCTATTCAACGTTTTCACAATTCATTCAACCACAATACATTTCGGTTTACCATCTCTCCATATAGTTTGAAAACGCCAATAATTTATCATGTTTGATGAAATACTTGCGAGTCCTCATGTGCAGCTACTGAGTTTGGTTCGGTGAGAATATTTTCAATTTAAGGCTTCATTTTTTCTCCCTCTGAAATTGAAATGAAGAATCTCTATCTTTTTATAGTGGCTAATGTAGTGAAGAAAATGAGTTCTTTGTCAGAAACTAGTTATTTTATCATGATCATGTAAAGTATTTTGCATTTTGTTAATGTATATAGTGCTTAAAAATATTTCTTGAATGCTTGAAAAGTGCTTATTTTTTCTTGAAAGATTTGGCTATGNTCTTTGGGACAAAGTCTGTATTATTGTGATTATCATTTTTTTTAAACAAGTTTCATATTAAGATTATATCTGCACATTGATGTTAATTTCTGACAATTTTGGCTCATTTAAAGAACAAATAGGACATAGAAGGAACTGTAGTCAACGAAAAAAAGTGACATTGATATTGACACACTGCTTATTCTGCATTTAAGAAAATTAATTCTTTTCGATGATAACAGTTAATATTCAGTTTAATATTGAAATATATGAAATCAAAGCATTCTTGGTTTTGCGAAGCAAACCAAGCAAGAATTGCGAAGCAATTCTCCGGGGGTTGGCGAGCGTCAGCGAGCAGGGGGCGGAGCCCTCTAGTATTTAAAATAATGCTTTGCTGAGGATAAATTAAAGCAAATATCATTGAGAAATGAAAAGTATCTATGTTATTTGTAAGTTAAGGAATTTAAAAATAAACAAATAGCATTAGGCAGTTTTAGCATAACTTTTCACTAACATCTTATATAAAATGATTACTTTCCATTAAGAAATATTAGTGATTAAAGAGGTTGTATTCAATGTGTGAATTGTGAAATCTGAGGGAACTTATGAGGTCAATGGCAAAAATAATATTTACTTTTAATTTTTATTCTTCAGAGACAGCATTCTGGGCTGTCACTGAACAATTCATCATGTCTGTTTCAAATTGATCAGGGTGCGTAGCATTTATAAAAAGTGCTTATTTTTGATTTTCGTTTTTTAAAAGCCTTTAAAGGTGTTTTTTCATTGGGTGTTTTTAAGAAGTGCTCAATTTTCCCTTTTTGAAAATGAGATTTTTTTCTTTACCAGATCTATTTTCACCACGTATTATGCAAAAGTATGCTTTTCGCATTGTTCTATTCAACGTTTTCACAATTCATTCAACCGCAATCCATTTCGGTTTACCATCTGCCCATAGCGTTTGTAAACTCCAATAATTTGACATGTTTGATGAAATACTTGCAAGTCCTCATGTGCAGCTACTGAGTTGGGTTCGGTGAGAATATTGCTATCTCGTGTGCATCTCTGCTGCATTTTGCAAGATATTTTCAATTTAAGGCTTCATTTTTTCTCCCTCTGAAATCGAAATGAAGAATCTCTATCTTTTTATAGTGGCTAATGTAATGAAGAAAATGAGTTCTTTGTCAGAAACTAGTTATTTTATCATGATCATGTAAAGTCTTCGAAAATTATTTTGCATTTTGTTAATATATCTCTTAAAATATTTAATAAGTTCTTAAATATTTTTAAAGTACTTAAAAGGTGCTTATTTTTTGTTGAAACATTTGGCGATGCACCCTGTTGATTAGCACACATCTTTTTCTATTCCTTGTATTAATATTTACCTTTTGATAAGACGTAAGACAATTCCAAAAACAAATTAAAAAAAGAGTAAAAGTATTTATTCAGTACATTTTTATTATCAAAAAAACAAAACAAACATGAAAAAGCTTGAACTTCATTGATTTAAAAACATTCATCTGAAGAAAAAAAGCAGTACAAAATAATGTTGTAAAATATTTTTGATTTTAATTACTTCCAACTTCTTAAAATGAGCAATAAAAATAAATATTTTTGAGAATTAACTTAACACTTGGGTGAATTAAATCAATTAAAATTAAAAAAGTTTTAAATTTTAGAAAATCTGTTAATTCCATGTTAAATATTTTAGATTTGTACTTCATAGAATGCTTTAAAAAAAAATTAGAAAAAAGAAAGTAGAGAGAAAGGTAGGTTATGAATGCTTTAAACCTTTGTCTTTCTACCTATTAATATGCGCATCTATAAGTATTTCATCAATTGTTAGACAAAAAAAAATTTCAAAACAAAAAAAGTGCTATATTTGAACAAAGCTTTTATTTTGTTGATTAAACCCTGGCATGGAGTGGAGGAATGAAGTAACTTGATAGACTTTCTCCTTCAGCTATTAATACAATATATATATATATATATTCAGGAACTAAACTAGTCAGTTTAAGTACATAAAATTATTGAATTCCACTATTTAACTAGGTGTTCTTTAGAATAATGATTACTTGATCTTTTAAGTATGAAATGCAGCACTTGAGAATTCTTTGAGCCCATTCTAGCTGCTTTTAGTCAGTTTTGAACCACTTATAGCTGCTTTGCAATGATGTGTGTGTGCGCTTCATTTTGTTACTTTTAGACCAGGGATGGGCAAACTATGGCCCATCGGAAGGCTTTATCCGGGATGCGGATGGAATTTTAACTTGTCAATCTGTGGCGAATATAAACTAGATACATTATACATCCATTATTTTGTCTACTTTGTTTGAAGCTATTTTTGTTCTTTCTTTTTTAACCAAGTGCTGATGATGTTTTTACTTACTTTCTCTATTGTTGGAATTTATGGAAATAGTTGGCATAGGCAGCTTCAATTGGTAAAATGTTGAAAGCAGAAGTTCTTTATCCAACAAGCATTTGTGTTTCTCGAGGATCAGACATATGGTATATTGTGCTGTATTTGTCTACATAACTTGATCTGTATATTGTGCTTATTATTACACTTATTTGGTTATTTTATTTTCAGTATTGTTTCATAAATGGTACTACATAAACTTGAATGGTATTCCATTTTATTCCTTTTAAGCTGCTATTTTATGCAATATGCCAGTTATTTCTGAGAATATTGATCAGGCGCGCTGGAGCGTCAGTGGCACTCACGAAGACAGGTTGAGTCTGTGTGCCACTGACGCTCCATCGCTTCAGGGGGAAAAACGCTCTCTAAATAGGAAAATAATATGTTTCTTCGTTTTTCTGGTTTTCCTTGTAAAATATAAGGAACATTTAAACCATTAAAACCCTGTTTTGTAATCCGGCTTCTGAGGATGGAAATATCATTTTTAGTGGCAGCGAATGTGTTAACTGACCTGTCTATTTATTTTATGAAATATCTAGTTAGTCTATGAAATATCTGAATTATACACTTTAACATTAACATATATTGAAATTTGATTTCATTTTGACTGCATAATTATTAATCTGCTGGAACTATTTTTTTATTTTCTCTTCCTATTTAAAAATTACCTATGTGTCCTGGGAAATGAATCTTTTTTTTCTTTTTTTTTTTTTGATTATTAGCTTGAAGCTGAATCTTTGATATTTCATGTTAAAATGTTAATTCTCTTTTTCTTTAATTTTATTATTTTAAATTGATTTTATTTTTTTTGCTATGATCTTTGTTTTACCTACTTAACAGTTAGGTAGTTTGTTTTTTTAATGTAAGGAAAAAATTAATGATGGCATAAAACATTGTATATATTTTAAAAAAAAATAGCTTTGTAGTTTTTTAATGATATGTTTGTTGATATTTTATTATATTTTTATTAAAAAGTTATTTATTTCATAAAAAACTTGGACAGGTGGTTGTCANTAGAAAATTTAATGTTTAATCAGAATTCTTTGAGTTTTTCTTTATATTCTTAAAAGCTATGTGAGGTGATTAAATGCAATTTAATCTTAATTAATTACAGATTATTTGTATTAAAGATTTCTTTATTTAGTTTTTTTTTTAAATTTTTTAAAGGATGACTGATTTGAAGAAAAGCTATTCCATTTTTTTAATCTATTATTATTAATCTATGATGTTTTATTTGATGATAAATAATAATTTTTAAGGTCCTTAATTTCTACAAAAAAAGTCCTTAATTTTTTTGATAAAAATCCTTAAAAGTGCTTAATTTTTGCTTTGATAAAAGAGTGGGAACCCTGTTGAAGCAGAATCTTTGATATTTCATGTTAAAATGTTAGTTCTCTTTTTCTTTAATTGTATTATTTTAAATTGATTTTATTTTCTTTACTATGATCTTTGTTTTACCTACCTAAAAACAGTTAGTTTGTTTTTTTAATGTAAGGAAAAAATTAATGACGGCATGAAACATTGTATATATTTTTTAAAAAAAATAGCCTTGTAGTTTTTTAATGATATGTTTGTTGATATTCTATTATATTTTTATTAAAAAGTTATTCATTTCATAAAAAACTTGGACAGGTGGTTGTCATGTCTGATTAGGTAATTTAGATTTTTCTAAAAAGTTCCCTTAGTTATTGTCTGTTAATAAATATGTTTTTTTTATTATTTTTCCTATTTATTATATTGTATAATACTGCCTTTATGCATATTTTTGAACATAGTATTGAAACTCATTATTTTTACTTTTTGAAGGCATATATTGTCCTTGGCCAGTTTTTAGTACTGAAGAAACATAAAGAGTTGTTTATTGATTGGATGAAAGACATATCTGGAGCAAATGTTAGGCAGGCATCTGAATGCTATCAATGCCTTTCAGACTGGTGTGATGAATTTTTGTAAAGCAATCATTTCTTTAATTGCTATCTGTTTTGTAAATAGTACTGTACTATTCTGACCTTTTAATAAAATAATTTTTAGGTCTCTATTCGGCTTAAGAATTTTTAAATGCATTTTAGGCTATGTTAATACGCATATTATTCTTGTTTACATGTATTTCTGAGTTAAAAAATATTTCACCTTGTCCTAATCAGTATTTCATCATTTATGTTTATATTCTTATGTACTAAATGTCTCAATTTGGTTATTTTAATGTGAAAAATGAAGTTATGTGAAAGTAAATATTCTATGGAAATAAAAGTGCCACAGATATTTATTTTTTATGGAAATAATGAAATAAATTTTAAAATGATATTAACAAATTGTATAGTATTTTCTATAGTTCTGTTTGATGTGCGTAATAAAATGGTAATTTTATACTTATGTTGTTAAAGCTTGTATATGTATTGAAGATCTGCTATTATAGAGTATATAACATTTAAATAATGGTGAAATATCGGCTGCTTATTTTTCTTAATTTATTTTATCTGCCTCTTTTTATCAACTGTTTAACAACATTTTTTAAATATTAGGTTGTGAAAAATTAGTTTTAAACTGAATGTAAATGTATTGATTACATTTATTCTGACCTTATAATAATAAAGTTTTTTGCCTTTATACAAAGTTTTGTTTCTTAATAGATAATGAAAGATGCAGTTCATAGCCAGGAAACACAATTAAACATGTCAAATATGACTGTGTTGTTTTATACATGTATCTCAAAGATTAAGCATAAGTTTTTAGATTTAAAATTTATTATAAAAAGTTGAAAAATTGTTATAGTCCGATACTTTATAATGATAATTTGTATTTAATTATTTGTAGGACATTGCTAAGAATTTAAAGTGTTTATTCTAATGATTAATACTAAATAAATATTAAAAAAAAGTTTAAAAAATATTTTTTTTATGTATTGATGCTATTTATTATTCAGTCAGTTTTAGTTGAAAAAGTGTTTTTTTTTTTTTAATTAAACTTCTTTACTTATGTCAAAATGTTTCTGAGGGGAAAAAAAGCTGATTTTAAAAATCTCTCTAAATTTTAAAAATGTTACTGTACGTAAAGTTTACTGTCTTTAATTTATCTTCTATGTTCAGAAAGAAGAAGAAAATTATAATTGAGAAAAAACAATTTAGATAATTTCTTTTTCCAGTATTCACATGTCTGATTTTAAGTTGGTTTTATTTTGAAATTGTGAAAAAATAAATCTATTTTCTATTGTCACAATTATTTTAAATAAATATTTACGACTAAATGTAATTATTATGAAAATAACTCCCTTGCATTTTAATAATACATGGCTAAAGAAAATTTATTCCTGTTGGTGCTATAGTAAATTTTTTGGAGATATTTTTTACCAGAACTACTTTAGGTTTATGAAAATTGCATCATCAGAATTTGAATGAAGATTTTCTACCAGCTCTAAAGACTGAAAAATGTATTTAACCATGTTAGAAATTTTTAAGATTTATTCTAAGTTTTTTTACTTATGTAACCAAGTCCTAAAAAATTTCCTTGTTTTTAAATTATTTAGAAATATTAAGATATAAAAAAACTTATAAACAAATGTATAAATATAAAGCTATTTGTTTAAAGTACATGATGTTAGTTTTTGCCTTAACTTGACATAGCCGATTGGCTACCGATTTTTGTGTTATCAAATTCTACATTTAATTGATCTTTTGAAATATAAAGGCCGAAGTTCATTTATGTTTTATAAAATTTAACCCTGAAAAATAAGTTCATATTTTCAAGTTATCAGTAAGAGCCTAATAAAATTGACAAAAAGTCATGTTTGTAAAATTTTTTATACATTATTTACAACACAGATGATACATTTGTACCCTGTTTTTTTCGATTTAACTCCTTTTTTTTTAAAATTTAAATCAAATTTTTAGATTTCTTTATTAGATTTTTCTATTACAGCTGTGACAAAGTATCTTAATAATACTTAATATTATTTAAAAACAATGTAAAGCATTTAGTGTTTCTAATACTTAAGTGGTTAAAATTAGTTTATAATTCTTACGAGCTAGATAATTTCTCAGTAAATAAAGTTAGCATTTTATTCTAACTCAATACCCCATGGATTTGTAAGGACTTGAACCAGATTTGTCAAATGTCTTAAATATAAATTAATTTAGATCAGGAAACTGGTCATTTATTTTTAAATTAATTTTTTTTATTTATAAATTAATTTTTTTTATTTATAAACAAATTTTTGTTATTTATGTGCACTAATTTCGTATTTAATAAGTTTTAAAAATATATGTGTATTTAAACTAATTTTTTAAAAATATTGATATTCATTATAACATAATTATTAAAATATTATGCATGCAGCTAATGAAAAGTTGTGACATTTAAATGTTTTCTTATAACTTTAATACACATTTAGTTTCTTTTTTTTTATCGATCTAACAAACAATATTTACATGCATTACCCACTCATTATTTCTCTGGGTAAAACCAATATCAATGAAATTAGGCTTATAAAGAAATCACAACTTTAATAGTATATTTATAAATTATGCCATATAAACGATATTTTTGATTTAAATCAATGATTTTTTGAAAAGTCAAGTTGCTTAAATTTTGTCAACCTTGTTAAAAATGCTTTCCTCCTTTGGCCTAATGTAAATAAATTAACTGAAAATTTATTAAATGGCAGAAAGAATTTTTAAATATTCTTAAATTTAAGCTCTAAGCATTTCTTTTCGCTACAAAGCATTATAATTATTTCAAGTAGAAGACTGGTTTTTAATTGTTTGTATTTAGCTTATGTTTTCTTTTAATGTCTTCACTGTTTCTAGAAACTCATTTTTTAAAGCGATAGTTTCCATAAAGAGAATACATTTCTCAAAATGTGCATATTTAAGGTCTCTGCTCATGATGTATTAAATAAAATTACTTAAATTATACTGTGTTGTCGGGAAAGCCTAATTGGTAGGGCGCTGGACTCACGTTCGTGAGAACAGGACTTCGAATCCAGCCGGCTGAAGACCCCCCTTTTAGTAAATGATGACTTATGCACGTTGAATCTGTCGGGTCACTAAGTCTACCATGTTCTCATAACAAATCAATATCCCAGGGTACTAAATTGAAGATAGTTCGTTCTCTGATTCATATCAAAATTACGATCTGTGGATGAATGATTTCTCCTGTCCTATAAACGGGTGTGGCAGAAATCGAATTCTCAACCATAGATGGCGCCACTGGGAAACAAGAACAATCTCACCAACTCTGCCTTAATGGCCGAAGACAACAACAACATATTAAACGGTACTTGAATATTATTTCTGATAATTCCTGGATCATTCGTTGATTGCGTCTGAGTTTAGTAACTTAAAGCTGTTTCGTTAATTTAAAAGTTAGCATAACTGTTGTAAAGATTTTTTCCTGTTCTCTCAGAAAACTAATTTTTCTTTAAAACCTTTCGAAAGATCTATGTTGCATTTTTAGGAAGCAAAATTATGATTGGAAAATATAATTTTCAAACTGTTAACAATCTCATTCCTAAATCAACAATTGTTAAGAGCGTCCGTTTACATATCTTTCAAAAGTTTAATTTTTCCAAAAAATACACCAAACATATTGAGATTTATTAACTCTTTGAGGGGCAGGAATTTGTAAAAGAAATAAAGCACCAGAATTGTCACAATTATTTTATTTTATTGTAGAATAATTTGTTTAAATTAATTTTTACGTTATTTTGTTTACTTAATGGCTCACTTTGAAAACCAAAGCCCTTCAAAGAGTTAAATATGCTAAGAATATACGAAGTTTCAACTGACCATTACGAATGATTAGTTTTGAGATATTTGTGTATTGATGAAGTTGTTTTTCGGCATTCGAATGCTCTGTATTCTGTTAAATCACGATTTGTAACATTCCCAATATTTGTGTCCTCTTTATTCTGTGGACATTTTTTTCCTATCTACAAGAACATAAATATTAAAAAGGAAAAAAAAAAAAAATGCGCTGTGAAGTAACTTAAATTAGAAATGAACGATGATTACTGCTTTGTTTTAAGTTATATATTTTATACTGATATGCTGGAAATTTTTTTATATTAGCATATTTTACCTAAATTGCATTTTTTAATATAGATATTAAAAAAAAACAAACTTGGAGGTACAATAGCTGTGAAAAAAATATTTAAGTTTACTTTTCAAGCCATTTTATTGAAATTAATAACGTATTTAAATTCTACACTTCAAAATTTAAAAGCAAAAAGAATTTCGTTGGCCAACAAGATTTAATGTTATATTCTATGCTTTAACAATAAGTATCTATTTGTTCTTTCTAATGTGACTTGCCATATCATATACCAGCAAGTCTGCTCGGTAAAACCAAGCAAATTTAACTCAGAGGGAGCGTTTCTTGTTTTTCAGTGGTGCCATCTATGTCCAAGAATTCGACTTCACTCACATACACATCACAGTCTGTTTATAAGACGGAATTTGTTGCCCGACAGAATTAGCACGCACCAGTGACAATTTACTACACGGGAAGTTTTTGACCGGAGGGGATCGAACTCACAACCTCTTTGACATGGGTTGAGCCCAGTGGCGTGCCAGCCGGGGGGGCAGAAGGGGCAGTCGCCCCCTCTGAAATTTTAGTGAGGGGGCAAACAATATATTTCGCCCCTCCTGAAATTTAAACATTCGAGAAAATAAAATCAAGTAAAATTCCGNACTGACTTTTGTTTTTTTTAACTCGAGAAATTTTCCGGAATTTTGACTTGGGCTCACAATCACCCCTGTGATAAAACAATAGAAACATACAAAAATATTGATTATTACTCAATATTATACAGAAATATAAGCAATACTCCTTAAGTGAGCGGGGCTACCCGACTCTCCCCTACTATTTCTCATAATTAATTTTCAGTAAATAATTAGTATGCAAAATTAAACATCTTGTCTCACATTAAATATTGGTAACTGTAACTGTATTAATTCTAATAAAATGTTCCTTAATGCTTTTTATATTTAATATTTTTCAATATATATATTCTATCTGTTCATGCAGAAAATTTTTTTTTCTTTCTCTCTAAATTTTATAAATGTTACTGTGCATAAAGTTGACAGTCTTTAATTTATCTTCTATGTTCAAAAAGAAGAAGAAAATTATAATTGAGAAAAAGCAATTTAGATAATTTCTTTTTCCAGTATTCACGTGTCTGATTTTAAGTTAGTTTTATTTAGAAATGCTGAAAAAATAAATTCATTTTTCTATTGTCACAATTATTTTAAATAAAGATTTATAACTCCCTTGCATTTTAATAATACATGGCTAAAGAAAATTTATGCCTGTTGTTGGCTATGGTCAATTTTTTTGGAAGTATTTTTTACCTGAACTACTTTAGGCTTATGAAAATTGCATCAGAATTTGAATGATCATTTTCTGCCAGCTCTAAAGACTGAAAAATGTATTTAACCATGTTAGAAATTTTTAAGATTTATTCTAAGTTTTTTTATTATGTAACCAAGTCCTAAAAAAAAATTCCTTGTTTTTAAATTATTTAGAAATATTAAGATATAAACAGATGTATAAATATAAAGCTATTTGAAGTACATGATGTTAGTTTTTGCCTTAAGTTTGACATAGCGGCT